AGCAACAGCAACAGCAGCAGCAGCAGCAGCAGCAGCAGCAGCAGCAACAACACCAACAACAGCAACAGCAACAGCAACAGCAACAGCAACAGCAACAGCAACAGCAGCAGCAGCAACAACAACAACAACAACTGCTGCTGCTGCTGCTGCTGCTGCTGCTGCTGCTGCCGCCGCCGGCGCTGCTGCTGCTGCTACTGCTACTCTGCTACTGCTTGTGCTATCGCTACCGCTACGCCTACTTCTACTCCGATTCCTACTACTACTACCACCACCACCACTACCATTACCACCACTACCACTACCACCACTGCCACTACCACTACCACTCCCACTCCCACTCCCATTACCACTACCTCTACCTCTACCTCTACCTCTACCTCTACCTCTACCACTACTACCACCACCACTACTCCTGCTGCTGCTGCTGCTCCTCCTCCTCCTCCTCCTCCTCCTCCTGCTCCTGCTACTGCTACTGCTACTGCTACTGCTGCTGCTCCTGCTGCTGCTGATGCTACGGCTGCTGCTGCTGCTGCTGCCACGAATTATCATTGCAATCTGAAGCCGGACTTAGCGCAATGCCACGCGCTCATGGAAACGACGGAGTTGACATTCAGGGAGCCCTGCCGGCCCTGCCTGTACCCTCGACAGAGAAGCCTCGATCCTTCGAGAAGCTGAACTCTGCTCCTGGAGACCTCGGCCCGTACAGCCGGGGGCCCCTTTGGATTCCAGGAAGGATGCGCCTGCATGGAAAGCCTCAGAAATGCATCACCTCTCGTAGATCCTAGCCTGACGTCATTGAATGTTGCCCCCCGGAGCCTGCAGGGCCTTGTACGACTTCAGACTCCTTGCTGAGACCCGTGGCCCGTTGCAGGAATCGCGCTCCTCCTGTCTCAAGGCAGATGATCGAAACGCAGAGGCCCTTCTTGAAGCGACTTTCATAGAGACAGACCGGGCTGCCTGCAACGTCATCTGTTCCCAGTGCTGGATAGCCTCTGGCACCGGCATCCGTCCTGGAGACGCCGGTTCCGGGACGCAGAAGGGAGGCGAGGCCCTGCGTTACGCTCAGAGGCACTTGGAGGTTCATGGGTAGTTATACGTGGGGTTATAAGTCCCCTAATATGGCTTCTAAGTATAGTTACCCTACTTATAACCCTACTTATAACTACCCTAAACCCTAAACCCTAAACCCCCAAGTACGAAGATGTGGGGCCGCTCCCGCTCCTTCGCTTCCTATGGCTTTCGGCGCCTCCGCGAAAGCAAAGGCAAAGACGGGACACAACCTCTTGGAGGATCATGGGACTTAGTAAGGTTATAAGTCCCTTAATTGGGGTTATAAGTATAGTTACCATAATGATAACCCTACTTACTAAGTCCCATGATCCTTTAAGCTCGTGTGTGATCTCTGCAGGCCTGCGCCACGAAATCAGCAGCCATGTGAGACGACGGGCATCTACCCCTCAAGGTATGCTAGGGACTCCAAGATTGCGAGTTGAAGGTAGAAGTTCCTGCGCTCCGGTCCGTAAAACAGCGCTTCTCTGCCACTCTTGCGAAGGGCAAGCGGTTGCAGATCCGAGTCTGTGCCCCTCATTACTGCCTCCCCTAACCTTTTCGCTTACGGGCTCAAGTTGCCAGCAGCTGACATCGCCATATGCTACTTGTGAATCGTGACGGCTTGTGAGCCACAGGGCGAATCGGCGGCAGCATTGGATAATTCTGTCATGTTTTGAACGCATCCACAGAGCGCACCATGACCAATCGGCATAACCCTGTTCAGAGGCGACACTTCGCAGATACATCTGCACCACAGTTCGAACCACAAGACGCGCTGGCTACCTCATGCCTCCAACCTGACAGAGAGATCCCCCCGAAATGAACCCCGAAACACGTCTGGAGCAAAGGAGCGGGGTCGGTTGCACCTGCAGCGCCTTGGTGAATTGGGCCAGCCCCTACGATTCCCAATGTTCCTCGTGTACGGAAATTGCTGAGCTGCATCTTTGAATCCTTCATCGTCTGCCTCAACACCTTCTCGCTGGCTCAAGATCTTTCGCAACCTTTCCTAGGGCTGGGACTCCACTTTGCAGCTCGAGCTGCGTCTTTTGCGCCTGCAAGGGCTGGGGCTCAGGGCGATCATCCGTCCTACCTTTCTGTATGCCGCCCTGTTCTGTCCATCTGCTCATCCATATAGACGGAGAAGCATCTTGCAAGATCTAGCACAGATTCCGGAACGCTCTAACGGCTGAAAACTCACGGCCTCTACGTCTCCAATTTTAAGGCTTTAAAGTTACAGTCTCCACTCTGACGACCATCTTTGGGTCCTCAAGTCCCTTAGTTGGGGTTATAAGTATAGTTACCCTAAGTAGTATAACCCTATACTTACTAAGTCCCATGATCCTTTAGGCTCAATACCCTTGCAAGCCCAGCCTCGAGCTGTGCGAGTTCGCTGCGGCTCCTCTCCTGCACCACGAAGCTTCGGGATCAGGCCTACTTGGAGGATCATGGGACTTAGTAAGTAAGGTTATAAGTCCCTTAATTGGGGTTATAAGTATAGTTACCCGAATTATTATAACCCCACTTATACCTGCCTCTGAACCTCCAAGTGGTGGCCTAGTGCGACCGACCCCGAGCCTCCACACTGCGGAGATTCAGCGCGAGCTCGTGCTTCTGCCGCTCCTGGCGTGCTCGGCTGCACGGCGTCTCTGCTTCTTTGGCTGCTTGACGGCTGTACGCAGCGAGCTGTTCTGGCCTCGATGTCGCGCCTCTCCTCCAGCTCAGCAATCTGCTGCTGGTAGTCGGCTGTAAGCTGTTCCACCGACCTGCACACTCCCATGCCGTTTCTGGCTTGCTCCACATGGGCTCGACGTGTGTGTCACACACATGTAGTAACAGTATGCATGCAAACTGCCGCAGGCTAGACCCTTCACGAGTGCTGAGACGCCTGCAAATGCATCTAAAACCCTGCCTGAAAAAATCTCCGCAACGTGTTGGACAGCCTTCGAGCCAGCTCTCCTCGAAGCCTCAAAGGTCCCCGAAACCGAAGCGGCGAAGCGAAGCGCCTCTCGTGGTCGGAGGTACGGCCAGCCGAGTCCGAATGCAGCCGCTCCAACTGCACAGGGAGAGGCTAGGATAGGCTAGGTTCCCTTTCGGGAAGTTTGCCAGTGTGCCGCAGTTGGCGTTGCCGCCAGCTTGGTTTGGGGACTACAGGGGCTTCGGAATCAGGAGCCCACAGAAACCTGGTCGAAAACATGGGGAAAGGAAGCAGGATCTCACAACATCCGAGACAGCGCCAGTCCGGGATCTCTTGGCTGGCGCCTCTTGCTTCAGCGCGTCCGCTTCGTGCGTGAGGGCTTCCAGGTCCCTGTGCAGAGGGTGGCGAATGCAAAGAAAGCGAAGATTTCTAAGCTCAGCAGCTCCGCTGTCCGTTTCGGCAACTTTTCCTCCCCGCAACGCAGCTTGCAGTGGTTGCCAGCTCAAGGAAGCGCTTTGTGCAAGAGGTCTACATGGCTAAACAGTATCCGCACGGCCGAAACCAGGCCATGGGCATCACAAGCTACGCATCTGATTGACACTCCAGCGTGTTTCCAGTCAGGTAGAATGTGTACAACGCACTTGCCTTCGCTGTCACCAGCGATGCACTTCTTCCCAAAACTCTGCTGGAAGCGCGTAGGTGGCGGGTGCATCACTTGCGCATGTTTCTGCAGCAGGTGACGGGGACATTAGCTGGCAAAAGGGGCTGATGCCTCACACGGCATTCCCTGCCTCGCAGTGTCAGGGTGCAAAGATGAGCTGCATAAGCTCGGGAGCCATTTCCGCAAAGTTCTCAGATGTATCTCTGATCTGCTGATAAGCCCGAATACGTCCAAATGTCACATCCCAGAATCATCCTCAATGCTTTGACTTTACAACCAAAAGTGTAAGCGTAATGACAACGGGATAAGGGTGAACTTGGATGGCGGGCCGGCCTTAGGTGCTCTCTGGCCTCGACCATTTCGAGGCAGACTGCAGACAGCTCCTGGGCTCTGTGTCATGTTCTTGGAGGTTCATGGGTAGTTATAGGTGGGATTATAAGTCCCCCAATATTGGTTATAAATGGGGTTATAATTCCCCTAATATTGGTTATAAGTGGGATTATAAGTCCCCTAATATGGGTTATAAGTATAGTTACCCTACTTATAACCCCAAGTATAACTGCCCATGAACCTCCAAGTTGAACATCTGGGATTAGCAGATTCGCAGCCCTTTGCCGGGGACGGTACTGCAGTGCAGCCGCCTGCTGCCTCCGCCTGCATCCAGGGAAGGTGGAATGGAGATTCGCAGAAGCTTAGCCAGAAGCAGTTCGTTGAAAACCGTCGACAAAAAACTCAGGAGCCAACCCAATACTAGTGTGGTATTTGATGAGGCCGGATTCGACGAGGCTTCAAATGACAATCCCCGATCATTCACCGCGTAGGGTTATAATTATGGTAACTATACTTATAACCCCAATTAAGGGACTTATAACCTTATTTACGAAGTCCCGTGATCCTCCAAGTGCAGCCTGAAAAAAGCCTCCCTGCCCCTTTCGCGCCTTTCCGCGAAGCGCCGGTTCACCGGCGCACGGCGCAGAAGTGCCTGCTGTGCCTTCGAAGCACCTGTGCAGCCATTGATTGAAGCTGTCGAGCCCTGTATACTTAACAGTTGCAAACAAAAAGGGTGGAAACGACTGCAACCTGGTGAAATCCAAGAAGAAAAGGCACATCTACAAAAAAATAACGTGCGAAACACAACAACGCCTGGATTGGGGAGGCACTACGGCGTTCGCTTGTGCCGGGGTGACACGTTCATACGTTATTTGCTTTTCCGTTTTTGTATGTTCCAGGATAACCCAAAGATTGCACGGTTCCTGTTCTTAGCTGTATACCTGTTCAAAGGCAGCGGCAACTATCAAGGAAGGTCAGACAGAACAGAAGACGAAGGAAGCCCCGTTCGGGTCGTGCTGGGGCCTACGAGTAGGAATCACAAATGGGGGGTTTCCGACAATAGGGGACCCTAATAATATAGTACCCCAAATAGTAGAGTCCTTTTTTTAAAAGGACCCCAAAATAAGGGTCCCCCTTATCTTCGGAAACTCCCAAATTGCGCCCTCCCAGGATGCCCTGTGCTCTGCTTAAGCAGGGCCTTCCACCAGGAGCTGGGACCTTAGCAAGGGGCAGCACAAAAGGCTCCACAGCTTCACGTGTAGGCCCGTAGGCACGGGCCATCAGGAGAACAGGATTGTCGAAACGAAGCGTGGTTTGCGATAGTTTGCCTTGCAGCCTTTCAAAGGATTTTGGGCAGCCTGATCCCGTCCAGCTTGCATATTGCCCGCAACTCAATGCACTCTAGCCGCCGGCATGGTTCCGGCAACGCCCTCGGAGCATGCTCGATCTTCGTCTTGCCCCAGCAGAACTCGTCGAAGTTCGGGTCGTCCGCGGCACAAAGGCCTTTACAACAACAAGCATGCTTACGTTGCATCGGCGGCATGCCTCGCTCGCACGTCAGGCCTTCTCGCACACAGAGTAACTTTAGCACGTCTCGGAACTCCTGGCAAACGCCTTGCCAGTAGTCCTTCCTCAGCAGTGCGTCTGTCAAGAGGAGACAACTTGGTTCTGCTCGTCAAACCCTAAGCCCTGAGGATTGGATAAGTGGGCGAGCCAGCACCGCATCCATGACCATGCATGTCTGTCATGATTCATCACCCCGCCTGCATCCTAGAGTCTCAAAATCGCCAGGTTCAGAAACTCTTCTGGCCCTCCTGTGGCCTGCTGGGGTTGCTCGTGCGGAACCCTAGAACTCCAAGCCCTGAAACCCGAAGCCCTGAAACCCCTAAACCCTGAGGCCCTAAACTCCCTAAACCCTCAAACCCTAAGCCCCTAAACCTAAGCCCTAAACCTAACCCTCAAGCCCCGAAAGCATCGCCAAGGCGCTGTTCTGCTGCGAGTGCCGAGGCCGGGCGGGGCGAGGTGCCCGCTGAATCCAGGGCCTTCAGAAAGAAAACAACAAAGTGGAAGAAGAGTAATGTTTGATGTTCATTTTATATAACTGGTTTGATAGGGTTTGGGTTTAGGGTTCAGGGTTATATAACCATTTCAATGGTTAGTGCAAACAAACCACACAAGTGCATGGAGCGAATGTCGAAAGGGCAGAGTGGCCTCCAGCAAGTCTGCATGGTGGAGCTTGCCTTCGCGCTGGACGCATGCGGCAATGTAGCTGAAACATGCAAGACTGGTCGAGATAGGGAACCCGAGAACGAGTCCAAGCCAACAACCCGCAACCACCTACGTCTCTGACATGCAAAGCCCAAGAGATCCCAGGAGGCTCCCCGCGCCTTGCTGTGTGCAGCCGGGCGCCAGCAGGGCCCGGAGGTGGTCCCGCGCCCCGCGCAGGGACCAGCTCGGGTGCTCCTCGCCGGCACCGAGGCTTTCAAGGCATGCTGTTGCCGGCAAGCACCAGGGCTGTCAAGGGCTGTTCTAAAATGCGGAACCCTCGCAACGCTTCTGCTGCCCATCTGCACTGTAGCTGCATGAACCTGTGGTTGGCAATCGCAAAGCAGTTTTGGGGGTGGGGCCGATGCCCCCGAGAGCCTCGCAGATGTGCAAATAGTGCAGGCAATACCTGCCGCCGCACCCCGTGCTCTTCGACCGAACACAGCAAATCGAAAAACGCCGGAACAAGAAACAGGAATGGAAATAAGACAAAAGTCCGACAAGCAGCGATGCAACCGATCATGTATGTCTTTACAGTGATATAGCCAGTGACTATTGCAAATCATGCATACTAGTTCCAACAACAGTAACAACACCAAAAACGGCAAGCATACTCATCATGGCAACACCAGCTGTGCAACGAACGCTAATCACAGCAAAACGATAATGGATAGCAATAACCAGAAACGATACCACCAAACACAAACTAGCAGCAGCAGCAGCAGCAGCAGCAGCAGCAGCAGCAGCAGCAGCAGCAGCAGCAGCAGCAGCAGGCCAGAGCCATTTGCAACAAGAACCGTGGCAATAACAACACGACTAAGAACAACAGCAACAGCATTTTCCAGCATCAGAAGAACAACACCATTAAAGGTAATTAGTGCGAGGGGGGGGAAAAACGAAGAGCAAGACTAAAAATAACAACAAGAAGAACAAGAACAACCACAACCGATGCAAGAACAATGACAGCAACAGCAGTAGGAGGGATAGCAGTAGCAATGACAGTGGCACTACCAACTGGAATCCGTGCTGTTCTGAATTCTTGACTCCGCAGACAACCATTACGGAGGGCTCGCATTGCATTTACTGCGGATGGCTCAAGGCTTAAGCGAAGCCGCTCCGAACGGCTGAAGTTCTGGACTGCCGTGGTTAAAAGTGTGAAGCTTACACTAGTTTACCCGATACCACGTCTGTTTACAAAAGGTTTCAATCGCACGCAATCCCGAGTTGCCTGACACCCCGTCGCAGAGCCGTCTCGTCTCCTTTGCACCTTTCGATGGTCAAGCGGCGGCGCTTCGAATGTTTGAGGAATTGGTGGGCCTGCATGGCTCCATGCATGCTCCGTGTGCCCTAACAGTTTCCCTCACTTGAATGCTTAAACTGAATGGCCATCACAAAATCAAGTCTCTACAGCGATCTCAAGGCGCCGCTACTCTTCCATGGCGAGTTGCTGGTCGCCTGCATCCTGCTCTTGCAGAGCATTGGAGGCTAAGAAAAGCTCCTCAGCAGTCACAAGCATGCAGAGCTTGCTGATTGCCACTCCATACTGACACGCGGCCTATCGGCCTGTCGTCCGATTAATAATCGCTGCTGCAGAATCAGGTGCAGTGGCAGAAGTATTCATTCCAGGTGCAGGTCAAGCTTCGGGGTTCTGTAGCAGCGCTGTGGCCACCATTACAGCAACACCTTCGGCTTGGCAGGCAAACTGGCGCAATACGCCAAGGTTTTGAGTGCTTCCGTCTGCGCGAACCCCTGAAGCCTCAGCCGTGCTCCGCGAAGAGAACGTCTACCACTATGCCAATTGAAACCGGGTCAGGTTTGTGGTCCGAAGGCTTCGAAACGGAACCCTAGATTTCGCGCACTTTGCAGGGGCCCAGGAATGTACACCAGGATCCGAAGAGCGATGCCATTAGCCTCTTGCCTGGGGACCCTCGCTTGAAAAGACTGACTATCTCTATGCACAAACCAATTTCTCGTCCCAGGGGCAGCCCGTCTGCTGGAAGCATCGCTCAGCATCTCCGGGTGCGTCGACACCGCCGTTGGCCACCTCAAGGCTCTCCAGAACCCTGATTCAGACTTAGATTGCTGACGAAAAAACCGAGGAAGTCCGTGTTGAAGGGGAGTAGGAGGGGCTGGAAACTCTCCAGAACCAGCTCAAACCCCGCCCAGCCCAGCGTTTACAAGATTTCCGCAGCTCAAGGGCCTGAGAGCTTTGAGATCAGAGTGCCGCCAGTGTTCCCGTGTCATATTCAAACAGGCGGCCGTGGGGAGGCGCAGCGCCTCCCGCACCGCACGGATCGCCTGGCCGCGTCAAGGGCTCAAGCGCTCTGGGCCTCTCTGTAGGATCCATGTTGCTATTGCTGGGAATGGGAACTCTCCTTTGCAGGCCTCCTTAGAGACAAGATCGGCATGGAGGCAATGGCACTGTAGCAAGATTTCCCAGCTAGGTGTCCCGTCAACAGCAGCTACCACGATCACGACCACGATCACGATCACTACCACTACCACTTTCTACCAGTCCTGCCACTACACTACTACTGCTACTACTGCGTCTTCGGGTCCTGGCCTGCCAGTTCGCGGGAGCGTGGTGCAGTGCCCGGTCCCGCTGTCGGCCATGTACGGTGACGAGGGAGCAACCCGCCTCCTGCGAAAGGGCATCTGAGCGGAGACACTGGGGCAAAGGCTGATTCGTGCGGCATGCTCCGGAGCCCGGAAGAGCAGTGTGTTGTGCAGAAATGGATCCTGAAGCATCTTGGCGAAGCGCACAGTCTTGCGATCATCTGCCTGTCCGGATGATAAAAGACAGACTTGATGGCCGATCGTGACTCATTTTGCATAGGCCAGTCCGACGTAACAAACATGCCTTCAAACATAGCTCGCACATGTTCAATCATCTGGGTCACTGCTCCAATAGGCCAAGCTGCAAACACGCGGATCTTGCAGGTGACGGGTACGCGAAGCGAAGGAGAAGAGGCGGCATGTCTTACAATCGCGTAGACGATATGCCAGTTCTCTTCGTCCATCAGAGCGCCACCCCATCCGCCTTTGCAGTGTAAGGCACGAGGCTCCCTTTCCAAGGACACCCGAGAACTGCTTGTGGTGGCCTCGCATGGCCTTGGACTGGGGGCAGCCGAGGTTGAGGTCGACGGCGTCGCACCGCTCCTGCGGAGGGACCGGAGAGGCAGAGCATCGAGAGAGATCCCCGCCTTGCTTTGGGCTTCTGCTCCCCGCGGCTTCGCTCCTGCACCTGCAAGGCGGCCTCCAGGAAGGCCTCGGGCGACTTGGCGCAGAACTGCACCACCAGCGGCCTGCGCCAGAGCCCCTTCAACGTAGTAGCGGTGTTGAGGCTCCTCCCGGCCTGTCTTCCGGGCAGGTGGTGAAGCCTTGCCGCACCATCTCCTCCTCGGAGCTGCCTAGCAGCGCAGAGTACACCAGGAGCAAATCTTTGCCCTCTTTAGCTTTCTTGTCGCTTGGCGGTTACCCTGAGAGGTTCTAGAAAAGCCATCACAAGCTTCACGTCAGCATCCCAAGGAAGGAAAGTGGTTGTGGGTTCGGCGAGGAGACAATTACGAGTATGGCAAGCAGAAGGATCGAACACCGTGGGATCCACAGAGCAACTACGATGGAAGCGACTACGGTGACCACAAGCACAGTCCGCCGCTGCCTGCGAACTCTTCTGCGTGCCTCAAGTTTCATGGGCGAGCCGCAAGTCTCGATACTGCTCCGCATACCGGCACGGACACATGTCCAACTTCTTGCATACAGGATGCAGCATGGGTGTGTAGCAGAGGTCGCACCCCGATTTGCGCAGGAGGAGGCGGTAAGCCAGCTCAGACTGCCCCACCATTGGTGCACACACGAAGCGCGGCGAACCCAGTGTCTCACCTGGCAGGCAAAAAAAGGGACTGGTGCAAGAGTTCACGCAGGCAGCTCAGACATCCACCTCTCTGTCAGTCTCGGTTCTTGTGAAGCCTGCGCTGAGCCCATGGCGGTAGAAGTTCCATGCATCCTTGACTCGCGTATCCTCATCTGGCAATTGGCCGAGGCCTTTGCCATCCCGGGCCATCAAGGAGTTCGGGGGCAATGGAAGGATCAGGAATTGATTCTTTCTGTCGGCACTGAGCACTGCGTTGCTCTCCTTGTGGATGTGATTTTGTTAAGGCCTTTGCCTTCAGCATGTTATCTGCCGTCGCTTCTTCTCACGAGCTTTTGTGCGGTGCTACTTGAACTTCGGAGAGCTTTGTACGGCCAATGATCGGTCGGCTGTGAAAGCACCTGGACTGCTGCCTGTGCTCTGGAAGCGTGCATTGTGAACCAAGCTTGAGCCACTGGCTGAGAGAGCTGTGACAAGTCGCGACTAGACTTGATGCACGGATTGGAGGCGGCGACCGACTGCAGCTACATGTCCATGTCAGAATCACAGGGGCCGCCTCGTGGCATTCTGCCGGCTGCGCTCGCTGGTGGCGAATTTGCTCTCGATGGCACGCAGCTGCACGGCACGGATCAGTCAGCAAGGGGAGCTGCATGGAGAAACTCATGCACCAGGTCACAGGGGACAGACGCGTTCGAGGGTTGGTCAAGCCCGGTCCTGCCTGCTCATCCTTCTGTTTTAGGAGATGCTCCAGCTCGCGCTCCATCTCTTCCCTCACCTCAAATAGACACATGGACGCGTGCGACGGCCAGGTCTCCACGAAGCTGTCCAGCCTGCCCAAAAGCTGCATCAGACGCCTGCCACGGACGGCTATTCTGCAGGACACCGGAAACGTGCGTCAGAATCAGTAGGTCCGTAGGTCGAAACAGCAGTGGTTTCACGGTTTCGCAGTGTCTGCTGCACAAGTAGCGCCAGGAAGCTCTCCAACACCACGCTTCCTTCGCGCGGTTCATACACATCTACGCCTCGGAGGCCCTTCCTCCGACCCCCTGCCCGGCCCTGCCCGACCAAGCCTCGGCGGCCTGCGCCCGCGCCCGCTCAGATGCAGCGGACGCCTCTCCCGGAAAGACACATGAGCAGCATTGAAGCTGCTGAAAAATTAAGCATTGATCTCATGACTGATGCTACTAGTAGCTACTGGTAGCCGTGTCAACCCGAAACAATGCCTGCATGCACAAGGGTTATGCTTCATGGCATGGAGAGGGCTCGCAACGACGTTCGGACAATAACTAAGGCAAGCCCATCGTTGGGCCAGCCGACAAGACACTGTCGCCCCAACAAACTCCGCACATTGCGGCGCGAAGCCGGAATGTCGGAGCCTTGTAGAAGGGCCGACAAGTTGCGGCACAAGCCGCCGTGGCATGCCAGGGCCCAAGCGAGCCCGGGCACTTCTGTCCGCAACCATCCACCCAGTTTACTGACGCGATGTCACCAGATGAAACAACGGAGTCGTGGTGGGATTCCGATGGACTGCCACACAGTCTACTTATTAGTCTGGGAGATACCTGTCTCGCTATTATCTTTTGTGCTTTTTGGGCGTAGTGTGTTGCTGGAGCGGAAATTTTGGGCAATCCGCTTTGACCCCAGCACCCTCCAGCTGCTGAACCCTTAACATTCGCCAAGCCTTGGCACCGACACCAACTGTTTCAACGCAGCCTGCTGCTAGGCAAGCATCACAGCTTTCTAAATTCGCTACTAAAGGCACGACAACGTCCCAGAGCCTGTCATGATGAGAAATCCCACCATGAGAGGGGAAGTGTAAGTCGAGTCCAAGGCATTCCACCCTAAACCCTAAACCCTAAACAGAATCCTCCCTTCGTTGGCCTCCTGCCGCAGCTGGTCGGCCTCACGCTGCAGCTGGGCTGAGGCGGCCTGCAACACGAGGCGGGATGGCAAAAGTCTCGGATCCGAGCCCCGGACCTGTCCGGTACTGGGGGTTCATGGGTAGTCATAAATAGGGTTATAAGTAGGGTTAACTATACTTACAATCCATATTAGGGGACTAATAACCCTACTTACAACTACCCATGACCCTCCAAGTACGGAATCTGCGACGTTCAGGCTGCCGTCAAGGCCTCTGCTTGCTGCCGTGCCGCCTGCGCCTCCCTGCAGGGACTCTCAGACTTGCGGCTTCCAACGGGCGCAGCACTCACTACCGAGTGTGCAATCTCTTCCTGCAGCAGTTTCACTAGACAGTTGCAACTTGCAACCTTCTTACTGGGTTGGCGTTGAAAGCAATGGAACAGTACAAGGCTCTCTGACTGCTTCTGGGCCAGCGGCGTCAGCTGCATCGTCATGCAGCCCATCTTCTCGGAGAGCTGGCGACGAGAGGCTTAACTTTCGGCTGCGCTGTGCAATTGAAAGGAGAGAGGGAGGGAGGGACAGATCCTTACCAGGAAGAGGCTACTGCTTTTAGATGATGGCTCAAGGCATTCAGCCTCGCAGCTTCAGACAGCATTCCCGAAGCACTTGTAAGGATCTTCCTTGACCCCACTTATATCTACCCATGAATCCTAAACCCTATAGAACCCTTTAAAGGAACCTTATAACCCCACTTATAAACCACCCCTGAACCTCCAAGTAGCCATCACCCCAAGCCTGCAGCTCCACGTCCTTGGCTGCCGCAGCCTCGGACTCGAGCTCCTCGATGCGGGCCTTGCAGGGTGCCGAGCCCCGGGCTTGAGGACCTTACTTGGAGGATCATGGGACTTAGTAAGTAAGGTTGTAAGTCCCTTAATTGGGGTTATAAGTATAGGTACCCGAATTATAACCCTACTTACTAAGTCCCATGATCCTTTAACTATGTGTCACTTACATACTACATACAGGTCTCAGACGAGATGCCATAGCTTGTACTGCCTAACGTCCGACATGTTCGCATACATGTTTCGAAAACGTGGCTGGATGTCACCGCATGTTTCATGCTTGTGAAAGGTGCTGTCTACTTTAGCGCCACTGCTGATGATAAGTGTTGTGGCGGATTTAGGTATCAGAGTTGGCATTCTTACATGACTCAACTACATATGTGCAACCACTCTCACACACACACACACAGAGACACGTCTCATGCCGCCGATGATACATTGCATGCTGGGCAGAGCTTGCTTCTGCAAGTGCCCTTTATCGCGAAAAAGTTTGTGGTGGCTGCCTGCCTCTCCGATAGGACTGCTATTGCGCTTTGTCATGTGCGTGACTCTTGGTATTGTCGAAACTATACTGTTGTTGCTGTCAGCAAGGTCACCACGGTTTTGAGTGGTACTAGACTTTCGCGGGTTTGTCTCCGTTCCTACGGGTACTGCTGTTGCATGTTTATTCTGCGTGCGACTACTTCTTTGCAGCTACGATAATCATGAATGCGCTTCGTTCAGGTACGCATATACATATATGCCCAGACCCCTTTTTGGATCTAAGAGATGGAGCTAAAGATGAAAGGTCTATCCGACACATACAGTAGTGGGATGCCTGTTTTGATGCTCCATTCGTTAGAATCTAACGATTAGATCCTTCAAGGGCCCTGGGCAGATGTGACTACGGAGTGTGTAGGTGCGTGCATGCACACACACACACACACACAAGACACATGCGTGTAAGAGACATGTACCCTGATGCACACTCAAGCGTTCCATAATTTCCTGATGGCTCCCTGATGGTTCGTGTTCTCATTCATGGTAACTTAGTCTATCACGACTGCCGCACCTGTAGGTGCGCAATTTGCTGCACGGCACCCATCAGGCGCGCCTGTGACCAAGCCCGGCCCACCAAGACGGGGACGCGATGAAAAAACAGTGCAACCATTGCCAATCCATGACCACTGCAGCTACAACTCATAGATCACAGCCTCAGATCTTTTGGTGGCCTGCCGTCCGGCTTTAGCGTGGCTACTTTCTGAGAATTCCTTCGGAATCTCAAGATCAAAGGACTACCGCAGCAACGGGCAGCTGCAACCCCTCGCAGCAGAAGCCTACTTATAAGTGGGGTTATACGTCCCCTAACATGGGTTATCAGTATAATTACCCTACTTATAACCCCATTTAATTTATCACTACCCATGAACCTCAAAGTAAACTATGGCCCGTCTTTCACAGCGCGCGGCTCCCTGAGGGACAGCTCCTCGACCAGTGTCCGCTGTGTCCTGAGGCGTGGCGCTCACAGTGATTAGGGCCATCATATGCTAGGCACTGGTTAATACAAAGCTAATCAGGATCGATGTTTCAGACCGGAGCTGTCCAGAGCGGATCGGCAGTTCAGCAGCAAGAGTGAGCAAGTGCAACAGCTCCAAAAGCTGCCACAGCTGCTCCGGAAACTTAGCATGGAATCCTGAGCCCAGAATTCGCCAGCCTCGGTATGGGACTCTGCCGCGACGGTGGCCGGATTTCCTTCTCGCGGATCTCGTGCTGGATGTTCCTAGCGGAGCAACATATAAGATACACAATGAACAGAATACGGCATGACGCTACCATATAGTACTAGTCAAGATAGTACAATGTGATGCAGTTGGGCATCATGTGCGATTCGGTTTTTGGCACCATCTTAGATCCCTGGCCTCCGCCTCGGATACTGAAACGCACGGATGTCCCCTCGGCTGCCGGACTGCTGCGTAGTGAGGCGAACAGTTTTTTGGGGTGGTTTGTGGATGTAAATCGCGCGAGGCCTGCTGAGCACATCCCGAAGCTAAACCCAAATCCTTCAAGGGGAGATCTTGCTTGGCTCTCGGCTCAGCAGCTCCCGCACCTTTGGCTTCAACTGCCGAGGCAGCCGCTGTTCGGCCTGGCGACTTCCGGAAAAAGAATGAGACGGATGAGACACAGAAGAACGAGGCACTTTAAGGACTTAAAGGCTTCGGGGTTTTCAACTGTAGTCTCGGGGTCGGCTGTGTTCAGGGAGAGGGCTTCACTGACGCCACAGTCCAGCGGCCACAGGCCTTGTCCTTCTGCGTCCTTGGATGACACTGGACGCCGACAACAGGACGGAGCTGAGCTCAGGAGTTGCTCAGTGAAGCCGACGAATGATCGTGTTCTGCCAGGGCACTCAAAGTGTCGGTCGTAAACCGCAGCGATGCAGTGATGACAGGGCGGGTGCCCCACGTGTTGCCTCAGGACTTGCAGCTCAGGAAGAAGCTTTCTCGCATCGAGGATGAGACTTACAGTGCAGGAAACTCCGCGGCACCTCAGTCTGCAGAGCCAAGCTGCCGGATCACTGCAAAGGAGACCTCGTCGTCAACGACGGAGTCTGTTATGCTGTCCTGCTGAGTTGACATCCAGCCCCAATCCAATGAGGATCGGAGCAGGCTCTCCTGCGAAAAGCAATGCGATATCATGCGATCATGCTGTTGACTGCTGGTTAGAGGCGGTCACCCCCAAGTAGCGCAGAACGACTGCGGCAGAACCACGGAGTGGGGCCCCTGAGTCCCAAGAGCTCCTGCCAGGTCGATGCCTCTTGTGGCAGACCCTGGGCTGAAGATGAAGGCACCGGCATGCGAGTCGATCTTGCTCTTGGGCTCATCGGCTTGTAGCTGCTTCCCCGCGATCTAGGAGAGCCGCGTGTGCCCGGACGGCTAGACCAAGCTCCTCGCTGGAGCACAGCACAAACTTTTGTTGGAGAGGGGTTCGGCATTTGCCCCGCTTGCCTGGCCTCAATCACAACACGCACGAGCTGTTTTGTCAACATACAGTAGCCATGTCGGGAAAGCTTTGTTGCGCGTTAACTTAGGGCAGCTCGCATAGAGGCCTCCTAGCAGTCGTTCCCGCGGCAGCGTCAGCGGCAGCGGCGTGAGGCGGCCACGGCGCCGGGGAGTGGAAGCGAAGCCCTGGGAAAGTTCGAAGTTCGTTTTGATCGGTTTGGGAAACTCTCTGGGTCCGAGGTCCCACCGCTCTCCGGCGCCTCCCAGAGGCCTTGGCCTTTGCTTTCGCTTGGGGCTGCTGAGGAGCCATCAGAGTCCAGGCCCAAGCTCATCGAGGGGCAAATGAGAAGAGGCGCTTTTTTGCATGAGTCCTCAGAGAAGAGTGGAAAGGCTGATGTCCTGGCTGTTAGGATTTAGGGTTTAGGGTTTAGGGTTTAGGGGTTTAGGGTTTAGGGTTTACGGATGCCATAGTCCTTTCTGATTGCAGCGGCTGCAAGGACGTAGTTGGTCGATTCCCGCTTCACACATCCTACAGTACCTTGTCGATGTCTGACTATATCCGACCATGAAGTCTCACTTGAGCCCATCCGCGGCCCGCAAGCTGCGTCGCATCTTCAAACGGAACAACCCTGTGAGCTGTGACCAGTGTTGAGAACCACCGCTCTACTTTCCCGGACTCGGCTGCACCTCGTAGTCTGCACGCACTTGCACCACCTGCAAGTCAGAGGAATGACGGGAAGAGAGGCCATGAGTGCTTCGCCGTTTGGCCCCACCTCGCTCGGCTCACTGTGCTGCTCAACTCTTTGAGCTTCGAATTGGAGCGGCGGTGCTTCCTGGCTCGCTGCGCACAACCTACAATAAGGGCCTTAAGGCTCCAGCAACCCACGGCAAACCCACGGCCAATCGGATGCCTCGGGCACTTCGTGGGGCTCGCGTCCGTTGGCCGCGAGGTCCGGCAAAAACCCAGCCTGAGGCTTCTTGCGGTGCCCCGAGCAGAACAGAGCCAACCTTACTGCAGTTTATTACGACAGCGCCAGCGCGCGCCTCCTCTTGAGCAGGTTCTTCCGGCTCCTCGCCATGGCCAGGTCCGCCGTTCGCGTGCACGGGCTGCGGCATCCCTCCCTCGAAGACCTCCGCGGCTTGGCTGGGGGCTGCCGACACTGAAGGCTTTACTTGGCAATCAGAGTCGGCGGCAGTAGGCAACTGTGATTTCCGCCCCTGTCAGTTTCTCACCCTTTCTTATGTGAACGATGCTGTGGGATGATATGGGAGCATGCACAGGCCGCATTTTGCACGCCCCTGCCCCTCAATTGCAACGCTATTCATACATTGTGGAGCTGTGGTTTTTGTTCGTGTTTGTGTGGATGGAAAAAAGGAAACCCTTCCGCAGGACCTTTCCGCTTGCTTCCGCACGCGAGGGTTTCGCTTCCGCGGGCCTCAACTTTCATGTCGCTTCCGCGGATCCCTTCGTCAACGGTTGTTTCGTTGAAATTCCGGGGCTTGCTTCCAGTGCGCGCTCGAGACATGAGGAGGCTTTACTGCCGGGGCAAACCCAGCGTATAGCTTCAAACTCTAACAGAGGAGAAACAATTGAAATGTTGATGCACACTTACATAAAGCGGGCGAGGACACAAGCAAGCACATCTGAAGAGGCTTGCAGGTGGCTTTGGGCTTCGGTTTCTCATCCAACTTCCAAGTCCGATAGCAAACCCGGACTTCAATGTTTCTGGCTTTGGGCTTGCAGAAATGCCGCTTTCGCTGGAGCGAAACCATCGCGATGACTGCAACTTGAGTACGAATGGGCTTGGGATCAATTTCCAGGAATCCACCTTCCGCGGAGCTTCAGCGCACGTCCCCTATCATCCTGAACATTTTAGGGGATAACGCTGAAGTGCTATTCTTATTCCTCTTATCCACATGACTTTATTCGTGAACACGTAAATGTAAATGGCAAGAACCTGATGACAAGAAGCCTGGTGGTGATGTTGACAAGGAGCATGCTTCTGACAAGGATGGGTGACTCTGAACCGGAGAGGAGGGGAGCGGGGCCTCCCTGCCGTGGCCATTGGATTGCTCCACTGGCATTTCCAGCCGGGGCTCCTCGGAGGGTAGAGGGGAGTCCGAAAGAGAGGATACGGAGGAGCGACTAGTGGCATTGAAAGCTTTCAAGCTCTGCTCCTCGGGCCCTGCTGTGGCGACCTGCCGGGACCGAGATGCAGCTTGTGCTTTCGCGGACAGTGCGCCTCACCTCGGAGCCTCCGAAGGCCAATTCCCCATGCGCCTGGATCTTGTGGCTTCGCCCAAAGCAACTCCGAACCCAACCCTGCACCAGCTGCCTCTGCATCTGGCTGCCGGGTCGACTCCATAGGGATGAATTCCTGCGAACAATGCGCTCTGCTCCGACCTTCTGGCCCAGCCGCACTGCCTCGACAGCCACCGGATGCTCCGCTGGCGCCAGCCAGTCCTGCGCGAGCTGCGCATCGGCCTGGAGAGATCGGGATGCCCATCCCTAGCGAGCGTGTGACTTGACGAGGTCCGCCTCCAGGTTCTGCGGCTCTGAAGTCTCAACGAGATCATCTGGAAGCACCTGCCACAGCCAAAGCACGCATGGTGTGTCTTCGACGTTGCATCAAATGCTTCATGAATCACAGCATCTTCTTTGAGGAACAAAACCTCGACGTGTTCGGCGCAGGGAGCTGGAAGCGTCTGCACGGGCTGCATCTCGGAAGCCGGTGCCACCTTCGATGCCCCAAATGAGTTCAAGAACGGGCTGGTGGCTTCAAAAGCCATCTCCTCTCCGCCACACAACATCACAAAGACCGGGCCTCTTCAACCGCTTCCTCGACGCGATGATACTCCTCACGGGCTCTTTCTGGCTTACGACCCCTTCCCAATTTGGTGAAGTCTGCAAGCTCATCACATCAGCCCATGAGCCGTTTCCTTTGCTCCTCCTTCACTGCCAGGTGAAGAAGTCTGCAGTGAAACGAAACGGAGATGCCCAGAGGCTCACTGGTGAGGGTTCATGTTCGGAGGCGTGACGCGTTGCACCAGGGTCGTGCCAAGCTTGCCTTATTGGGTCCCGAACTGCCTTGTGTGAACCCACGGAAATCTCTCAAGTCCTTGTGCACGGAAATCTCTCAAGTCCTTGTGCTCGTGCCAAACCTTGCCTTCGGCAAGGAATTGCACTGAGCGAACCCTGGCAAACTTGCGATGCTTGTGACTCGCACCTTGATAATGTTCAACAACTTCTCGTGTCGCGCTGGCTACCGACATGTTACCTCATGCTGAACTTCCATTATGCAGAGGCTGCAAGAACAATTAAAGTTTACGTCGCGCACCAGAGCAGCGCAAAATCCATCACTGCCCGGGGCTCATGTAGTTGCATCGCCTTCTGTAGAAGCCTGAGCACTTTGATGCACAGGTGTTGCGTCTGGAATCTAAGTAGGAGGTCATTCTTGGAGGTTCATGGGTAGTTATAAATGGGGTTATAGGTAGGGTAACTATACTTATAACCCATGTTCGGGGACTTATAACCCTACTTATAACTACCCATGAACCTCCAAGTTGCAAAAGTACACACATGTTGGCGCTGGGCTCCCTGCACTCGTGATCCGCAGGGAGCAGGTCGTTCGTCCTACCAATCTCCAGCTCTCCAATACCTTGGACTCGGACACCGAGGGCTTCTTTCAGGTCTGGGCACTTGGAGGTTCATGGGTAGTTAGAAGTAGGGTTATAAGTCCCCTAATATGGGTTATAAGTATAGCTACCCTACCTATAACCCCATTTAAAACTACCCATGAACCACCAAGCAAAGGAGCACCTGAGGCCTGCCCGTCTGCAGCCCAGTGGCTCATTGTCGGCGTCGAGTGATTTCGCTTCACCGTCCCAAACTCAGAAACATAGCCTGAGCTGCACATGCCGTACGAGATCCCACAGCCCACAGAGGCATGCCAGCTTGGAGGATCATGGGACTTAGTAAGTAAAGTTATAAGTCCCTTAATTGGGATTATAAGTATAGTTATTCTAACTATAACCCTACTTACTAAGCCCCATGATCCTTTAAGAGGGCATGTTTTTTTCTATCTGCGGCCGGCGGACTGCTCTTCTCTGGTGGACCTTCCCACTTCGAGATGAAGCCCAGGTTGGGCTTCGGGAGAAGGATCTGGCCTGTCAAAAAGGCGCATACTGATAGTGTATTGTATTGGCATAGAATATTGTAGGCCACATACTTGTACATCTTATAGTTATTTTCTCTTATGCTTGCAAAAGAACGAGGAGTCGGCTGCAAGGCAAAGGGGAATTCTGCCGCCTGCTTTCGCCAAATCCTGCGGGTGCGAATGGTAGCTGACCTGGGCACTGCAGCTGATGAACCACAACACACCAGCACCGACACTCATCAGCACTGTCACTCATCTCATCAATCTTGCAAGGAGGCTGGGACGTATTCAACTTCCGCCAAGATGCGTGTGACAAAGGTCGTGTCTCCAACAGATCCGTCATGCCTCTGGCATCATTTCTGACTGAAACAGGTAGTGATGGCTGCACAAAACCAGCAAACCCAGAAAGAACCACGAACGGCCCACGACCGAAGAGCAAAGCAAAGACTGAGCACTGCCTGCCTGTGATGGTGTGAGTCCTCGCATTCGTGGGCTTCACACTCTTCATCTTGGCAGATCTCAGACGGCTGCCGGTGTAACCTTGGCCACTTCTGGGTGACAAGCATTTTGCCAAATGCAGGGATGTGGATGGTGCTTGAATCTTACAAATCAAATAGCATGGTGCATACGGACGTAGCAGCAGACAACATCGCACAGATGGGAACAGCATCAAGAGGAAACGGAAGACAATTACACTAGTTGACAATCTCGAACAGCATTTCGCAATCTAAAGTAGAGCACAATGTGCGTGTATCTGTATATATATATATATATATATATGTACTTGGAGGTTCTTGGATAGTTATAAGTGGGGTTATAAGTCCCAAATGCGGGTTACAAGTATTAGCTACCCTGCTTATAACCCTGTTTATAGCCCATGAACCCCCAAGTAGAGAGAGAGAGAGAGAGCGAGCGAGCGAGCGGATACGCCGACACGCGAGGGAGACACGTAACAAGCTACAAGTAACGCACAAGCATTTAGGGCCGCACCAAGATGCATGCTGTGAGACAACTCATCTTCTGCACTGATATAAACGGCATGTGCTGTCTCATAGCAAAACATACTAACCTAAGGCAGTGCTATGTCGTGCGTGGTGCTTATCGCGTTGAGTGTTCTATATGTGAATGTGTTTGCGACTGTTCGCATGACGCACACACCCAAGGTCAGCATCGACCACAAGACTACAAAGAGAATCAACGTTTTCACTCTTCATCATCATCATCATCATCATCATCATCATCATCATATGTTTAAGTTCATGCTTGTTCATCATCTTTTCCGTCATCATCACCACAATCCAACATCACCGTCATCAACATCGACAACAATCTGCAACAACCAGACCACCATCACCATCGCGATGTTTGTAGTCAACAAGCATCACAGAAGTCCCCTATGATCAGATAACTAGATGACGTGTCTGTTCCGAAATCCACCAGCTTCTGTGCTCTGCGACCACGCCACCTTCGAAGGTGTCCTGGCACACGGAAAATTGCGCTCCAAACCCTCCCGAATAGAACTGCCACAAGCCAAGGATGCCCACAAAGAGGTTCTCTTTTGCATGATCCTATGGAAAAAGATACACACCCTGAACAGCAAGTCAGGCTTATCGGGCAGAGAGTTCTATCATCCCACATCAGCCTCATGACAAATTGCTCTGCAACCCCAAAACCTGAACACAAACCCGATGTTGCTTCCCTTGAGCGGTTTCCGCATGCACACACCTGCGCACATACACATGATCGGGAAAGCACATCTATACAGATCGTTAGTTTTTTGGTACGATCTTTATCTTTCGGGGTTGCTCTGAAACAGGATTAACAGCTTCACTTGAGACAACACAGCACAGCATGGTAACATACTTTACCTAGAGGGACTGTAGTATATACTTCCACGAAACTTATTGTGTACTGCAAAAACATAGTATTCTAGCAAATTTTGCTTGTCACAATGCGATATAACCTGGCACCATACCATTTACATACAACATACGACTATACTTGACGAGTCAACATGATACTGTACAAGAAGAAAGCCAAGCATCCGCCAACCCTCAGAACCCCAAGCCCTAACACCCCAACACCTAAAGCCCAAAGCCCAGAGCCTGAAAACTCTTAAAACTCCAAAAACCTGACCAAAAAGCAAGAAACAAAAAAAAATGACCAAAACCCCACAGTGCCTGGTAGTAGCTGGTCTTCGGCATCTCAGCCGCGGACCCGGCTGCACTACCTTTCCAGCCGGCCTGGGGCGTTGAAAGGGTCGTCCCAAATCCAGATACACCCCAAACTGCATTGAAGTCTGATACTTTTCTTGCATCACAACATACTATGTAGTGTTCCGATGAACCCGAAGTCCGAGGTGCCTTGAAGCTGGCCGCCAGCATGGCGTTGACCTGCGGCTGCAAGTCCGGGATCTGCTGAGGGGTTTAGCCGGCGGAACAAAAAGCGGTTTAGGGTGCGGGCTCTCGGGCTCAGGGCCCTAAACCCGAAATCCCCCTTAAAAGGCTGAGAAGTTGCGAGGGTTCGAGGAGCGTCTGGGCCTTGTTGTCGCCCAGCGGATGCGGCGTGAAGTCCCGCCTGCTGTTCACAGCGCTGTAGTCGAGCAGCGGGGCCTCGGAGCGTCAAGGGGACTTGGGGGTTCCATGGGTAGTTCTAAATAGGGTTACTATAACGGTTACTATAAGGGTCACTATAAGGGTTACTATAAGGGTTACTATAAGGGTTACTATAAGGGTTTAGGGTTTAGGGTTCCATGGGTAGTTCTATATAGGGTTATAAGTAGGGTAGCTCATACTTATAACCCATATTAGGGGACTTATAACCCCACTTATAACCAATATTAGGGGACTTATAACCCCATTTATAACCAATATTAGGGGACATATAACCCCACTTATAACAACCCATGAACCTCCAGGGAAGCCCATTAAGCCCCCGCCCCAAAGTCCGAAGTGTCAGATTCTGAGCACCGGACCGTGCTTTTCTGGAACTTCATGTATTGAGATTCCTGCGGGTCACGGCTCTGTCGCACTGACAATAGCTCTTTGGGAAGCCGCTGGCACGGGATCATGACGGCATGCGCAGGAGGCTATTCCAGATGAAAGGGACGACAAGATAAACGAACAGATATGCAAAGAAAGGGTTCAAGAAGAGAGATGCACACTGTAGCGGGAGAGGCGGGAAGAGAAAAAAAACACAGAGAGGGATTGAGAGGGCTGACAGGTGAAGCAGAAGCTAAGAAGCTCCTTCCGGCCGATGTTGTGGATGCCGGCAAAATTCTCCCCTCGGTCTTCGGTGCAAGGGATGCGACCGGCAACTCCTGCAAGCAGGTGTCACCCAGTGCGGCGCTCTGACATTTACTGTTTCTATAAGGCTACTGCAAAACCAGACAAGTATGCAAGCACGCATGCAAGAGCGCACATGCACGTCCTGTGTATATGCTTGTGTATGTGTTTATGTATGCATTTACGTACATAAGTAAATAAATATAGATGTATGCATATTCACAGACGCAGGTATGAAGCATGTGTATGCCTGCGTGTGTATGTACATATGACGGTATGCGCATGCATGCATGCATGCATGCATGCATGCATGCATGCATGCATGCATGCATGGACGGACGGACGGACGGACGGAGGGATGGATGGATGGATGGATGGATGGATGGATGGATAGATGTGCGTGTGTTGCATATCTATGTGCATGTGTATGTGCATGTGCATGTGTATGTATATGCATATGCATAGTCTTTGAACTATGTGTATGTGTACGTGCACGTGCATGTGGATGTGTTTGTTTATCTGTACAAGAGTCTGTTTTACATAATCTGCTTGTCTGTACCTAAGTAGGTAGTCAGGCATGCAGGTGAGTAGGCGTGACGCATGAAGCGGAGGAAAGAAGCGTCGGAGATGGATCACTTGGCCGCCCAGCCTGTTGCATAAGCGGTGCGATACGTCAGCCTGACCTCAGATGCAAGGTCCACACAGGCGGGGCCTGGCCCTATGTGGAAAGAACCTCTTAGGCAAAGCCGCAGTGCTAGAGCTGGGACGAAGCTCGCAAAATTCGAGAGTCGGGGTTGAAACCCCGGTACCTACTATATAGGGCCCTAGGGGCTCTAGTACCCTATATAGTAGGCGGAGGTCTGTCGGAAGATCCACCCCGAAGCTCCCGCAAAGCCTTGGGCCCTCCAAGCTCGGTCTTCAGAGGAAGCTGCGAGGTCGTCCGTGGGCACGCTCTTGACCGCCGAGCTGCCAGGTAGGCAGCCTGGGTCTGAATTTAGGGCCCTTTGCTTTTGTTGGCATTGGGCCTACTCGGCATTGGTGTCTCTGCTTCCCCGCAGGCGCAGGGCCCTTGAAGTGGCTCCTAGGTCGGTTCTTTAGTTCGTCCTGCCAAGGAGCCCGTGGACTTGTAAACGACCTGGAACACAGAAGCAGATCGCTGGGAACTGGCGGCTGCAAGTGCGGCTAGACCAGATCCCGGCCTTGTGCGAGGCCATGGCGCCGGGGCAAACGGCCACGCCGAAAGGCAGCTGCGGAGCCATGCAGAACATGAAAGTTTTTCATGAAGACTGTTGTCCAGCTGCTCATTCATCGTCGTGGCAAGAACTGTGCAAGGAAACCCTTGTCATTTCTGCACCGCGGTGAATCTCGGCGATGAGTCGTTTCTCTTCGTTGAGGCTCTCTCTGCACTCAGCGCAGCAGCCGTCAAGAGTCGAGACCCTGTCAAAGGAAGGTGAAGGTGCAGCTTGCCTGGCTGACTCAGTGCATACCTCCCCCCCAAACAGATCACGGCTTTACCAGCACCAAGTAATTACAGGCTGAACCCGAGAACATCCTGCCTCCGTAGCCTCAGCTGCGCTTGTTCAAAGAAGTTAGCATCGGCAATCTTTTGCCAGGGTCTAGCTTTTGCACCACACGAGATCTGGCACAGGAAAAATGACCACCCGATAAGCAGACGTTGTCGGCTGCAGCATTCGACCGCTGGGTACTCTTGACATGATAACCGGATGTCCCCTTCACATCACAGAACCCGAGCTGTCAGCAGTGAGTCAAACCGAAGGATGAGACTTTAACACTGCCAGCCACAAGCCCTGCGTCGGGGGGCCACTTTGCAGACAGAGTTGAAATTGCAAGTTCTGTACAGTGGCAGCGAAGTGTGCCGAGAGAAATCCGCTCTGCACCTCCAACCGTTTCAACTCCTTTTAAAGCCTGTGCATCTGCTCAGATGCACTCAATACCAGCCACCCTTCTGGCCAGGCCACATGTACCAGCCACCTCACTCGACAGGATTCACGGCCGCAGCAGGGCATCATTGTGTCCGACCCTTGCCGGATGCCCTCTCTTACTTGCGACACTTCGTTCCGTTTTTGCTGATGCTTCACCCTCAGGGCCCACACGAGGGCTGCCTCGTCGTGGCCAGTCAGGTTGACGTAAATTTGAATGCAACACGCCCTCTCTAAGCCCTATAAACTCCTAAAAGCCCTAAACATCTCTTGGAAGGATGCGGCCGGGCATCCTTTCGGACCCCAGGGAGCCCAGGTGCCCTTCCCATGCCAGCTCTGGCCCTGTCCCGGCGGCGGGATCTCTCTCGGTGCAACCGGGAACTTGGGGGAGTCGTATTCATGGGACGGTGATGATGAAGTGACGGTGAAGGCCCCGGTGATGATGAAGATGAAGATCTGAAGATGGAAATGATGATGATGGTGATGATGATGATGATGATGATGATGATGGGGCTGAGGGTGATGAGGGTGATGAGGTGCTGGTGCTGATGATGCTGGTGCTGGTCCTGACGATGATGATGATGATGACGATGATGATGAAAACGATGATTCTGATGACGATGATGATGGCTGTATGAGCGACATTCAAACCGTTAGCAGTGTTATGGCATCGCTGCTCAGCTGGCCGTCCATGATTTGGACCAAGAGGATACTCACGGTACTAGTTTACTAGTGTTGGTACTGATCTGGTACAGAGAGTAATTTCAAGTGAGCACCATTCCGCAGGCGTGCAAATAAATGCCTGGATGAGGTGAGGTGCATAATCGAGCGAACTTTGCCAGCCTGACGGCTTGGATTACTTAAACTTCCAGTAAGGACGTTTCAAGACGTAGGGAACTCAGCGATCGATCTTCTTCCAAGACGCTTCCTTTGCCCATAAGCTGTGTTCGTGAGACACGGGCAATCGTCTGATTTGTACACAAACAGAGACGATACTTTTACGGAGCAAGAGCCGCAAGTTGGAATCCATAATCATAAGCCCCCTCCGCTGAAAAGTTCAGACTTGCCTGCTAGTCTCCTCCGGATTGACACGGCAGCCCTGCCTTCATGGCGTAGGCGCCCTGGCGCGGTGCCTGCGCACCTTGCATGGGATCTAGTGACTAGTGAATCTAGCTGTGCAGTGAAGCTGCTCTTCGCGCCTTTGTTTCCTTGGGATGCAACTGCCGGGCCCTTTGACGGCACGTGTCCAGCCACCGGAGCCTCGCATCGACGCCAATGCCCGCCCCTCCCCTCGCATGCAGAAGAAAAAGGAGAAATAACAAAGAGATTCTATGCCCTTTCTGATGCTCTGACATCAAACACCGGACACCTCGAACTCGAAGGTACAACGAAGCACAAGGTTGCCTGGGAGGCTTCGGAAAGCGCAGCTTTGCCCTTGCCAGACGGGTCGGAGCTCCCCTTGCCCTTGCCTTGCGCAGCCTTCCAGAAGGCCACAAGCTTCAGATGTTAAGGCTTCATAAGTGGAGGCCATGGACCTGCAAACCCACACGGCCTGGGCTGGCTTGGCTTTCGCCGCCTTGGCCGGGCGTGAAGCCTGCGAGCCAATCCGTCAAACTCCGATCAGATTTGGGAGTTTCCGAAAACTAGGGTACTTCATTTTGGGGTCCTTACAAAAAGGATCCTATTATTGAGGGTCTATATTAGGGTCATTTTCGGAAACCCCCATTTTGAGCTTCGCGATGCAGGCTTCGAGGGTCCCCGGGGCCTTCCAACGTCGAGTCAAAGCGCTTCGAGCATGACAGGTACTCTTGCTGTAGGACTTCCGACTTCCCCACGCCTGCTCGGCAAGTGTCTTCGGAGACGCGTCTGAGACGACGGCTTGCATTCCTTCGGAGGTGGCGACGGGCTACTTGTTTATGTTTACTATTGTTATTACGATTATTATCGTTGTGACTGTTGTCATTATACATATTGTGACTATTATTCATAACAAACAAAGTGTCTTATTAGATCTTACTAGTATGTTTAAGAAAAAATTATGATCAATACTATTTCCATCTATTAAGCCTTAACACGCGCTATATTAACATCTCTTATTGTGAGCTTCTCTCTCTCTCAGATGCCGGGCCGAGGCTCTGAAGAAACCCGGGGCCGGCAGCAGAAAGCCCGCTTCCGCCGCGTCCGACGCGTCCGAAGGTTCGCTGCGGAAGAGCAGCAGCAGCTCCCGGGAGAAGCTGTGATCCTGCAAGCGATATTACTTTTATTCTTGTTATTATTAATATTATGTTTTGTATTATAAGCATTCATTATTGCTGCTTACTTTTATTATTCTAGTCATTCTTCCTGTGATTGTTCTTATCATTATCATTACTATCAGTATCTAGTTCTCATGAAGCTTTATTCAGCAGTCTTTACCATGAGTTGAGGAACAGCAACAGCAGCAGCAGCGGCCCAAGCGCGAGAGCCCAGGGCAACCCGGGCAAGGCCCAGCCGGGCCTCGGCGTGGGCCTCGAGGACGGCCGTGAGGTCTGTGGACTTCCTCCTCGAAGGGTTTAATGGTTTAGGGTTTAGGGTTTAGGGTTTAGGGTATAGGGGGCTTCATAAACCTTATAGCCTTATGGTTGAGGTAAACCTTGGATTTAAAGGCAAAAGAGGCTTACGGCAAACCCCAGAAAGTTGGAACGTGGGTTTGGAAGAATTAGTGCTAGAATCCTTTCTACTTTACCTTAAGGGCCTGGAGGTTCATGGGTAGTTATAAGTGGGGTTATAAGTTTCCTAATATGGGTTATAAGTATAGTTACCCTACTTATAACCCTCTCTAGAACTACCCATGAACCCCCAAGTAGGGGGTTTAGGGCTTAGATCGTGTCAGAGGATCGGTGAAAATTACAAGCACAAGCATCCAACAGCATCACCCTCGTACTCTGTACTCTGTGAGAATACCTGGTCATACCTATCCACAACGAATGGGTGCACAATTGTGCCAAAAAATACCTGGCAGGATCAAAACCACCGAGTTTTAGAATGCGACCATGAAGGATCTAGAGTCCAGAACCATTCAGCTCAACGTTCATGAAGTGTGAAACCACGGAAACTCGGGGACGGGAGGTAGGACAAGGTCCGTGGGCCGCAAACAACATTTCCGGCGCCTGGGTCTGCACGGCTCCACTTCAGCGTTCAAGCCGAAGGAGTTCGCCCGAGAAAGCGAATCTGAAAGACAGGAACGATGACGAGCATCCCAGCTGACGTGCGGTACTCTCAAGCATGTTGCAGATTTGGATTGCTACAGTGACTTTGGTTTAGTCCTGCCCCAAGCAACACGTGCCTTTGGGCGTGCTGATGGGCGTGTATCCCAAGCCCGGCGGGTAGGGACGTGAGATGGACGTCGTGCGCACGAGGCTCGCCTCCGAGCCCATGGAGATCCTCAGACGTTCTGACGCCACCATACTATTGTTATTACATCATTACTATCATTACTATTATTCCTATTATTACTATTACTACTATTACTACTATTATTGCACCGAAGCACTCGGCAGCAGGGGGAGGGGGAGGTCAAGCAAGATGCAGGGTTTGGGGGGGGTACCAGGCGAGCAGCAGCAGCAGCAGCAGCAGCAGCAGCAGCAGCAGTTCCCGAAGACCTCAACAGCTCGAGTCATCACCACAGTGCTATATGGCCAACTTCAAAGACCAAGCTCGTGCGCACGATCGGAGAAGCGGAAGGCGTCAAGGTCCTGTGCGGCTGGCCTCAAACTAAGCTGCGTCGCACAGACTCAAACGGAGCCCCGCACCAGAACGGCTCACTTAGTTTCCGGCTGCCAGCCAGTGGCGTAAGTCCCATGCCAGGCGGATAGACGGAGGACTGGCAGAGTTTGTCTCATTGCATAGGCATACACTTTCAGATGGACATACATTCTGGCAGACATACATTCCAGACATACATTCTGGCATGCACACGGACATCGACAATCGCCAACGCAACGATAATGGTGACACATGTAGGGTCATCAAGGCGATGAGGGTGATCAGCGTCAGGCTGGTGACGATTCTGGTGAAACCACATGCATCATGAGTATGAACCCGGCTGCCACTATTGACACTAATGTCGTTGGAACCACTGCTACTACTTTTGACCTCCGCCACAATTGCTCAATTCTAGCGATCGCAGACAGATATGCATGCCACAAATAATTGCCACGCGGCTTTCGGCGTGAAATGCGAAGATGGCGACCAGAAGACCGTCGACGAGGAAAGTGCCTAGGTGCAGCTTACGATTCCGTGCCACCGGCTGAATCTTTCTGGATGCGAAACCTCCCTCTGCCTCTGCCTCTCCACCCTCGTCTAGATTTGTCAACATTCATTGACGCTGGCAAAGTGGACTACCTGCAAAGCCCATAGCACGCAGTCCTTGGCGGTTCGAGTCCAAGTTGCCGACACACAGCTGTCCTTGGCTGCTCTGTATGTAGAAACCCATGAATTTCGCGAAACGAAGACGCAACGAAATCTGGTCAAGGTAAGACGGCTTTCTGCACCATCTGCGCTGAATACATTGAACTCTATCCGAGATGCCGTGGACACAGCCGAAATTGTGCGTGTTCGAACCAGCGGTTGAAGTTTGGCTGAATCTTCCGGGTCCTGGCCAAACAGCGAAAGCTTGAAGTCTCCGGCGTGCTCTCCGGTGTTCTCCGGTCTCCGTCCTCCATGCTCGGCAACGGGGCGCTCCGGGTCTTGCCCAACTCCACCAAGCTGCCAAAAGGGACCGCGGAAGCTGTGCTGCTTACCGGCCCGCTCCAGCTGCTACAGTAAGCTGCAGTTCTTCTGAACCGCTTCCGCTCCGTCCCTCCCGCCATGTCTCACCCTTCCGGCCTTGGCTGGCACCCCACTGCCTCCATGGGCAGTTGCACAAGCGGCTGGGCGCTCAGAGGCGCAGCAGGCAGAGGCACCGCCATTCTCAGCTGGGAGGTGGCACGAGCTGTCTAAGCTAGAGTCGATTCGATTTTGTCACGGGACGGTCAAAGTACAGTTTGTGTCGCTGTCCATCGGATAAAGGTTGGAATGACAGAGTTGTGCATGTGTGGCAGAACCATTTGGAAGCATGCTAAGCTGGAGCAGACGAGGGCAGGCGGCTCTGTGCACTGCGCCTCATGGCCACACCGAAAAGCAACACCCACTCTCCTCCCTGGTCTTCTCTCAGGCTTCACATGCCTCCCTTTATGCTGCTCTTTTCTCTTTGGCCCAGAAGGGCAGGGCCTCAGCTCCATCCAACTGCGGTGTGGAACCAGCTGTCCCAGGCACCATCTCCTGTCGCTCAAGGAGGAAGCGTACAAGCTGGAGCCTCACGGGGTTTAGGGAGCTGCATGACTTCATGGTCTTCTGAGCCTGTCCTTGGAGGTTCGCTGCGAAGGCCACGCGAGTCTCTGTCTCCCAGTGGGACGGGACATTGTGGACCAGCCACGAAGGAAAGCACACCAGGTCGCCCTCTGTCGGGAAGAAGTACTCCTTAGTCTTTGCTTTCGAGGGGACCCTACGCAAGCCATCCAGCTCCTGTGAAGCTTGCAACCGACAGAGCCGAAGGCACGTTGTGATGAAAGGGAGCTTGCGGCTCGAAGTCTCGCTCCTGTGGACGAGCACTCCTACACTACGAGCACCAGCCGCTCACTTTTTGGTGCTCCTGGATGCCTTGGGCAGTAGCGTGTGCCGATCTACGAGCTGGACCTTCACTGACTCTCCTTCGGATTGTTCCCTGCGTCAATCACGAAAGTCCCCTGCTTGTTCGGGCAAGCCGCGGAGGTTCAAGCGCGTTTTCTGGAGCTGGTTCCATCGTCTCAACGGCTGTCTTGCTGGCCTGTATGACTGAGGTCATGTCCTCACGCCTGGTGCCTTCCAGGCCGGCCACGGCAGGTGAACAAAACGTGATGCCTTCAGACATCGCACCGTCCACGACCTGCTGTAGCGACAAAATTTGCATCTCGGAAAAACTGAGCGACGTTAACGAGGTATTCGGGATTTCAGCCGTCGACGGCATGAAGGCTTGGACAATGCAGCATCGGCGTCAAAATGCCAGTTTTAATCTGCCTCACTGTTATCACCCGGCTCAAGCGCTCCAGAGCAGAGACTAGGACCACCAGGAACATGAACTTCTTCTCCCATCAGGAGACCTCACTTAGGGGACTCTTCCCCGTCTCCTGGCGCATCTCGTCAGTCACACCCGCAGGACAGCAAAACTCTGGCAGCAAGAACACTTTCTCCTTGGCCGTTTCTGGATAAGCTTCCAAGGGCGGCTGGCGCTCGAAGGTTACAGACTTCTCGTAGAAGGTTTCCAAATACGTCGCAAAAGTAATTTCGACAAGCTTCTCCCCGTCACTCCCACCTCGCTGATGATACGCGAAGGTGTGGAACGGATTCATATCGAACTGCGCTTGCTTTACCCTACACGGCTATACACACGGAAGATTTGGTTCGTCACAACGGCAACCTTCCACAATGTTCTTGGCACTGGCCGGCTTGTGCAGTAAGGGGCCAACACTTCCCAGCCTGGCAAGATTCACGCAAAACGCGCTGATTACATTGTGTCCCTTGACGTCTTGGCAGCCGTTGTTGCAAAAGCGCTTGCCAATTCTCTGTATTCGGCGTTTCCCCGCTAGCTGGTCAGCAATGTACTGCCCTACGACAGACGCCGGGCCCATTTGCCCTTCTTGGATCTTCTGGGCACTGATTTCGGCCACATGGCAAACATCCAGTTGCGCGAGCTTGCCGTTCTCGTCACGTACCTTCAACGGAAAGTTCTCCACCTTGGTGGGAGAAAAGATGCAGCGAGGTAGCCAAATCACGAAATGAACTAAGTGTTTCTCCATGTCGGGCAATCCCCTCTCAAGCAGCTTCCGCTCATAATCTGCGGAGGTCTATGGATGAGGAAGATCATGCTCATACTGGTGGATGCTGTAGGTCCAGTGCATCCGAAAAAGATTGACCTTCACTGTGAAGGTATTCTCGGCATTCCATCCGGTAACATCTCTGGGCATCTCGTGCGCAGCTGTGATGCCATCTTGTTGTATGGGAAACCATTTGTCCTGGTACATTGCCCGCAAAGATTACGAAATCTACTACACGTGCTTGCTCACGCACGTTGCAGAAACTGCAAAGCTCCGCCGCATGTGCCGCCGGTGACCACCGTTCTCCGGACGGTAATGCTTGCCGGCGGGCTCCGGGCCAAAGTTTTTTGTCTCGACACTCGGACCTTTCGCCCAGTATTCTAGGTTCCGCCAGGTGATGTAAGCCACTGTGCCGGAAAATCTAAACAACTCCTACACTTGCCCATGTCCTCTGATCATGAAGACTCGGCAGGCTCTCACAGTCTCACAGTGTCTGTCTTGCTCGAGAAGCGGGTCTTACCAGTTCAAGCACCCTTTCGCCCGTGCAGCCAGACTCGCTCATGACATGTTCATCATCTGGATAGGCTGGTCTTGTCAATGACACCACGAGCTTGTCCAGGTGATGAGCACTCATCTTCAGTCATCTGAGCTATGCTGCTATGCCACTAGGTTGGGAAACCGACAGGAAGGAACATATTGACTACTTGACGCTCGAGCTAAAAGGTTGCGGGTAGTGGCAGAGGTCAGCACAGAAGGGCCTATAAGGGCCTAGAAGAACCCTGCGTTTCTTACCACTTGGGGATCTGGATGGGTATCTTACGAACCCGCAACAACCGGTGACAAGTGGACTATTTAGCACCCTGCAAGTCGGATGCGCAACAATATGCTGTCAGGAGCTTGCCTTCTCGTACTGCTCGTAATCCTTGGAAACGCTAGGTTGCAGACTCGTCCGTGCGGGCACTTTAACGGAGCCTATAAGAGGCTGGCAGGGTACAGGAGGGCAGGGTTTCGTGCAGAAAGAGGGCTTGTGAGGCAACGCTCGTTCTGAAGACGTTTGGAACTGTTCGTGACCGAGCCAGCATTTCTGCCCAAGTAGGAGCCATGACTGGCTGGGAATGCAGAGCCCCAGAAAACATTCGCAGCTGCCCAACATTCGGGGACGGGAAACCGCGGAACTGCTCCTCCAAGCAGCCGTTAGAGTGTTTAGGAGTCCTACATGCATATGACGCACATGTTCGGGAGAAAGCATGCATAAATCAGTGTGGGAGGTCATACACCCTCACATTGTGCCGCACTCAGCCGATGGACTCGACTCAAGCCCTGGATGGAGATCCTTTAGGGTGGGGCCCCATCGCTCCGCCGGAGGCCGTACAGTGCATGGCAATGTTAGGTGTTGCTTGGAGGTTCATGGGTAGTTGTAAATAGGGTTACTATAAGGGTTACTATAGGGTTTCGGGTTTAGGGTGTAGGGTTCATGGGTAGCTATAAATAAGGCTATAAGTAGGATAACTATACTTGCAAACCTATTTTAGGGCACTTATAACCTTACTTACTAAGTCCCATGATCCTCCAAGTGGACAGCTTCCTCTAGTCAGAGCGTCGTTGACCGGCGGTGCCCCACGGGGATCAATGAAGCTGATCGGAGTAGAGGCACCTGGGCATGCACCCATTTGGGAGTTTCCGAAAATAGGGGGTACCTTATTTGGGGGTCCTTATAATAGGGATCCTATTATTTAGGGTACTATATTAGGGTCCCCTATTTTCGGAAACCCCCATTTCGGCAAAACGCAAGTTCCAGAAGTCAGCGACCATGCAACTCCACAGTGAAGCTTGACTAGGCAGCACTAAGGCACTAACTTTCTATTACAACCTGAGAACGGAAAGTGACCTTGCGCTCGAAGGAGGTAAACAACCATCTCCTACCCAAAAGCTGACCTCCAAATTCCAAACTCCATTCACCCGATGAAGAGCGCAGAGGTTCTGAGCCCCCAGGCCCCAAAGCCAGCTCAACATCCGAATGCCCAGACGACAAACATCCTAAAACCCAAGATCCTCAAACATCACACGCTCATGGCCGTTGCGAACACGATTCATGAGCAGTCTGATAGCGTTGCTAATAATTCTACTGTGTGCATGTTGCGGGAACCACCGCTGAGGCGCAATGCAGTGTTTTTTTTCGCTGTTGCGCGCACTGGAGCAGAGTGCAATCTAGTGGGCGACACAGAGCGAAGTGAAGTCGGCGCTTCATGCTTCTCCCGCTTTCCCGGCAACAATCCAAACACTTGTAGTAAGCGAGTCATGCCATGCAGCATGCAGCTTCAGCAATCGCATCTGAAAGTCAGAACGTCCCATGCGGTCGCAAGACCATGCCACTCCTGAAGCTGCCTTAGACAGACTTTTTTGCCCACGCGTGCGCGAGCGCAGTCGTCTTCGCATTTCTCACCGGAGCACGGCGCAGAAGGCGTCTCACTTCTCGCAAGCGCACGCGGAGCGAACCTGCACAAGATCGCCTTCCATTTTGCGTTGTCTTCAGAAGAGATTCCGGGCAGTCAGGCCCAGGAGGCCAAGCCCCGCACCCACTTCGAGNNGCACCTTGAGGCCTTGGCGAGGCGTCTCTTCTTCGATCACGTCTCGAACACCTTCGGCTTGAACACTCCCAGGGTGTCCAGCGCGAGGAAGGTGCGCAAACACTAGTACGGGGAGGGGAAAACTGCTTGTTGGCATCCACCTTCTTCTCAACGTACCCTCCAGGCATTCTCGCTCCAAGTTTCATCGCGACGGCAGCAGGGATCGCAGAGAAGCGAACATCGCGGACGTAAATTCGCAAAGTGTCACCTCGCCAGGACGTCGCACTTCTCCTGCATGTGGTCGATGTTGCTGACGTACCACCACCCAGGGACTGCATGGCATACAGGATGTCCACGAACCATCTCCGATCCCCCACCCCCATGACCGAGGCGTAGCTGCTCAAGCTCAGGTCAGCAGGAGCCCAGCTGCAGAGCTAAGCTCTGCAGCTGCTCCGCTGCGGCCTCTGCTGTGGACCTGTGCCATGGCTCCCTGTCGACTAGGGCGGCCACATACTGTGCAAGCACAGGAGGCAGGGTCGACATCTCGTCTGAGTCGATTGGGTTGCCAAAAAGTGTGTCCCGCAGCGGGGCATCCTTGGGTGGCTGAAGGACATCACACAGCGACTTTCCGGCAGAGTAGATGTCGGTGGAGGTGTCAAAATCTCGGCCTGCCAAAAATTCAGGCGAGGCGTACCGGACGTCACCGCGTCGTGCTGCATGAGCCCCTCTCTCAGCTGTCAAATCCACCGCTGTGCCGAAGTCGGCAATCACTGCCCTGTTCTTGGAATCGAACAACACGTTTTCGGGTTTCAAGTCGCAGTGCACGATCTTAGCGGTGCACGTGCTGCAATCCCTGAAGGACGTCTTTCATTGCCCCTGTGGC